GGAAAAGCTTTTTTTTTTTTTTTTTTTAGTTAAAAAAAGTGCAACTTAAACACCTGTTGGCTGGTAGATAAAAGCCAGCTTGAGCCTTTCCTCTTGGCTTACTATTACTGGTTTCCCCAGGACTTAAAGGTATTTCTGGCTCTTCTCCCCTATGTGTGTTTGATGGTGTTGCTGTAATGCATAGTGGATCTTTTTTAGATTAGAATCCTTAATTATGACACAATTCTGTTCTTCTACAGTACACTGTAATTTTTATCCTGTCTTCCTGCACATGTTTAAAAAATGAAGAACTTGGAGAGAAATTTGATTATATTAGTTTGCTTAAAAGACTGTGCCCATAGGCAGAGACTTACAAAATCTTACATGAAAACCACATAGAAGAAAGACCTGGAACTTTGAATGTTCATTTCTCATGGCAGGATGGCCAGCTAATGGTTTCTTGGATGTGTTGAGACTTGTCTATGTGTGAAGTTAATAAAAAAATGGCTATTCTGGGGTAACTAAGTCATTCACGCCCTTCTGTAATCTGAATTTTCAAGTTTAAGCAAGTTCCATATTTCCATTTTAAAAGCAGTTAGGGGACTTTCTTTGCTGTGTTCTATCCAGTTTAACAGAAGATTCCCCATTTGAACATGTGTGCAGCTTCTGGAGTCCAGAAGCAGACCACACAGCTGACTTGAAAGATTTCAGCTAGAACATGGTGGCTGCTAAGTATCACGTGTCTGCCCCTTCTCCAGTAGCTTCTTTGCTAGCAAGGTATCCAGTGAAATGCTCCCTACTGTGTGAAAACCCTTCTGTTAGATGCTTAGAGGCTCCTGTGTGTAATACTGGCTCACATAACTGGAGCGCCTGCAGCAAGGAGCAAGACCAGCCCATGCTAGAGGGTAGGAGCCAATATTCAAAGGTGCAGACAGGGAGACTTGGAGGAAAAATTCTCTTGTGCTTTTACAGTTGCTTGAAGTAGCCATGGTTTTCTGCCTGATCTGCCGTGGATAATAGGAGCCATATCGTGAACACTTTTGGTTGAGGACAGGAAAGCTGAGAGCACTGCTTTCAGGGTTGGTGCTCAGGTGAAACAAGTGAGAAGCTGTGGCTTCAGCAATAACAAAAGGTATGTCTTTCCTTTAGTTTGGAACCAGTATCTCTTAGAAAGAAAAAAAGGAGTTTATCTGAGGTTATTGGTTGGGGTGGTGTTGACAATTTTAGAATTTGAAGTCAAATCAGTCTTGAAGCGACTTTAAGCAAAATGGTGAGAGTTGGTGTGTTCTTAGATGGTCCAGGTTTGGGTAGTGGCCACAAGTAGTAAGTAGTCTTGGCACTAATGTAAAGCCCTAGGTGCTGAGTGTGCAGTCGCAGCTAATGCTTCTTCGCTGCTCTGGAGGGTGAGGTTTTGCTGGTGAGGAGGGATTTTTGGTCTACAGGCACACACAATACCTTCTGACTGATGGTAGGGTTTGCCAGGCAGTTGGCTGAGGTGAGTCTCTGGATGTACAGAACCAGTTTTGATCGCACCCACAGCCTGTAGGGATTTGAACTGGCTGCCTGGAACAGAGGGACCTGCTCTCTGGTGACTCTTACCCGATGAATAAGTGGTGCAGCCAGTGTGGGCACCTGGGACACATCTGGCAGCGCTTGTAGGGTTACGGAAGCTCAAGACCACACGTTTCTGTGCTGCCTCTGGATGCTGTGTTTGGTGTTGGTAAGATGTGGCGGATTATATGTCTGGCCAAGGAGCATGGAGGTGAGTTAATGAGCTGAAATTGTCTGCTGTGTGAGGCGTGCTTTTGTTTCCAGGCTAGGGTTCTTGTCGTCATCTTATATGCTGCCAGATCCACTTCGCTGTATTAAGACTTTTGTGAAGACTTTATTTGCTCAAACAGAAGGTATTTAGATTTGCTGCCCCAGTGCTTCCAATTAGTGAACTTGTGCCTCCAGCTTCCTTCCAGTTGTTTATTAAACCAGGTGTCTGCTCCACGGCCTCTTCCCTTGCTCTGAGCTTGACCTGCTTTCCTTATGCTGGCGGAAAAAGTAGGGCAGATTTCTAGCTTCAGATATTATTAGACGGGAAACAAAAAGATACTCTGGATTTTTATCACAGCCTCCTAAAATAGCTAACCTGAGAGAGGGAATGCTTCAGGAAGCAGTATGGTGATGCTGGGAGCCCTGGTCTGTGGGAGGGTGGAGGACAGGCCTGGGGTCTGTTCCATGTCTGCCTGGAGGGATTCATTGGCTGCAGATGGAGGGACAAATAAAGAAAAAAAGATGCAGCTGAGTCCCTTTCTCCTGTGGATGGGATAGTTTCTAGGCTTGGGGAGCATAACCAAACCACATACGTAGCCACTCTTTTTACACCCAAGCCAGAAACCTATGTCACAGATGATCTTGTGCCTCTGAGTGGCAGCAAAGTTTGTCCTGGCCTTTCTTGTACGTAGCCTTGGCTCTCATGACACCACAGGCACTGTTGATTGACCTGTGTTTACGCTATTGCACTAGGCTAGTGCTGTTTCCTATGTAGTTGGGATGTAACAGAATTCAGCCTAGAAAAAGCTTGAGCACCTCATTTTTGGAAACTGCTTGTTTTACATTCCTGGAGCCCAGTGTTAGTGCTGCACCTTGCTGGCAAGCTGATGGCATTGATCGCTGAAGGCCGACAGTCAAAACAGGATCCAGACCTCGTCCTGCTTTCACTTCTTAAAGCAGATGTGTTTTCCTGGTGACCTGCCCAAGGATTTTGTCTCTACCTTTGTGGGTGGATGGTGACGGTGGTAGTTGCAATGATATTGATTACTAATCAGCTCTTACTTAAGCCCCAGTTTTGCTGTCACTAAAGCTTCTAGGGAAGTGATGGGTAACTGCTATTGTAAAGAAGAACCAAAGGTTTTTGTCCTGACCTACCTTGTTTGATTCCTTAAAATAGAACAATGCTGCATGTATCCAGCTTATCACAGCTTCACAGCTGTATATGAATAACCTATTTTGTGACATGCTTTCAATCTTTTTTTTTTTTTCTCCAGTCTTAATTTAACCTATAATACTGTTCTTTTTCATTTCTTTCAGAATGGACTGCTGAATTGGGAATTATTGCAGACTCAACAGTACAGCACAGCTCGTTGCTTCGTCTATTACTAGTTATTTAAATTGGACTTTTAATATCCTGCCAGCTGCTGTTCACACACACATGGTGCATTGTTGCCATTCTCAGAATTGCATCTTTGAAACCCAGACCCTCAGTAACCTTCATCGAACAAAGAGGCGACCTCCTGCGTACGTTTATAGAGGGATTTTTCGGACCTACTGCCCTCTAGCTTTCTTGCTGGTGCTGTATTTCTAAGACACTATGGAGCCCAGTATGGAGTACTGCTTAGCGCAGGTGCTGCAGAAGGATGTTGGAAAGAGACTTCAGGTTGGCCAGGAATTGATAGATTACTTCTCAGATAAACAGAAGTCAACTGATCTTGAACATGATCAGACTATGCTGGATAAAATGGTTGATGGACTGGCCACTTCTTGGGTAAATTCCAGCAATTATAAGGTAAGATTTGTCAGATTACATTGAAACTTCCAATTATTCCAAGTGCTACGTAATTTAACTGAAAGTTGTATTGTAGACTTTCTGATAGACTGTTCTGTAAGCTGATAATTACGCTGAATCAACCATTCTTGATGTATTTGTTTGTAGTTGATAGCCGATATATTGAGAACAAAAGGCAGTAAGAATTCAGTAAATGGGGTTTTAATACATGGATTTACATTTGGTGTTCATACTTCATGATATCCTGGTTTCTTTGTGTACTTTATTAGCTGGTGGCATGCTTTGATCATCCCAGTAGTCAGTGATGTTGATGACTTCCTGTAATATTAAAAAAGTTTATAAAACTGCAAAAAGCATGTATAAACAGGAGTATTTTTCACTGTCATAAAATCTTGCTAGATTTCCCCCTGCTTCCCCCCATTTTTTGTGCGCGCTTAAGTACAATTGGTCTGCTGCCCTTAGCTCAGGAAAGGTAGTGTGTGTTTATTTACATAAGTTCTGTTGAATTTGACAGTGTTGCAATGAATTGGTAGGACATGAAACTCCACTATCTCATTATCCCTGTCCAGTTGCTTCATCTCCCTCCAGGTCTTAGTGAAAAAGTCCTGCCACTCCCATCTCCTGTGGAGTGGGGAGGGGTTCTCAGCTGTGGCTTGGAAAACCTGTTATGGTCCATTCACAAGGCACTCTGACAAGTATAGGGTACTTAAGCTGTTGTATGGGGTATAATAGGAGACAGTGTTCCTTTCTGATAACTCCAGAAAAATCTGAGAGTTAAAGTTCCTACAGAGCTGAGCCTGAATGAGAGTTGTACTGGAGTTCTTTCCTGTGGAAGTGAAGAAGTGGAGAGCTGAGCCTGAAGCCAGTTAATGAGAGTTGTAGTGGAGTTCTTTCCTGTGGAAGTGAAGAAGTGACTAGCTGTATAGGTTGCGAGTGCTCTGGAGATGAACATCCTCAGATCAATTTAGACTATTTCTAACAGATTTTGATTGAGAAGTGATTGTGAGTTTGCAGTGTATTGGTCAATGTGTTCAGCACAACTGCATTTTTTTTTCTCTTTGCTTCTGTCAATAAGCAGCTGTGGTAGAAGCTGTTTGGTGTGTAGGAACAAAAATAACCCCAACCAAAGCAACAAATCTCCAAGGCCAATACAGTCTCAATAGGGGATCCATTCTGGCTGAGCACATGAAGAAATCTTAGTTTGCTGTCATTAGCAAGTAGTGTACATATATTTTTCTGAGAGCATTGCATGTTCTTATTCCCTCTTTTATTGTTAACTGGATTTCTCTTAGACTTCCATGTTTCTCAGTGGAAAGGTAACCCAGGCACAGTAAACTTGAAATTGTTAAAAAATGTGCATGGGTTTTATGAGGGGATGTGGATGGCAAAGCTATCCAGTACTTTGCACTTCCAGCATCACACTTAGCTTGCAGAATTTCTTTAAGGATAACTTGTTCTGTGTGTCTCCCACCCCCCTTCCCAGGCTTTTGTCTGCTAAAATACACACTTGAAATGTTCATTCTCCAGTAACAAACTGGTGGCACTTCTGTACTGCAGTGACTCCGTTCCAGAACTCATGCTGCTGAGCTGACTGTTCATTAATGTGTGTGTTCTATAGATAGCATTTGCTGTGTTTAATAAGTTTTAGTAAGCATAACAGCGGCATGTCTCGGATGTCTGGAGGGTGTTTTCTCAGTGAATGAGTATAATAGAGGATGTGAAACCTTTAAGTGGGGCAAGCCGACTATCTGCAGGTTAGTGATGCAGTGAGGTCTGCTTCAGGATCCAGCCAAGGGTTAGTGCATCCTCATATTCCAACCTCTGCCTTTTCTTTTAGAGCCTACATCTGTGTTACTGTTGCCTTTCTTCCTGACTGCTTGTGGTGTGGGGGTTCAGAAGCTCAGATCTGTGTGGGAGAACAGGGTAGCTGGTGTCATCTGATACAGTTCATGGATTAGTGTAACAACCCTGGGAGTGAAAGGCCAAGCATCGCTGCCCTAGAATAGCCATCTGGAGAGCTAAATTGCAGTTGTTTGGTCACGGTTGAAAAAGCCATTATATTTGCGGTCTGTTTCTCTGCTCACCTCGCTCCATTCATTTGAAAAAATATCAGCTTAAAATGAAGATTGAGATCATCTGCATGATCTGAAATTTCCTGACACTTCAGAGATAAAATGTGTGCTCTCAGACTTAGACTGGATTTGGAAAACAGACCCATTATCTCAGAGAGCATCCAGTTGATTCACGGCTCCTGCCTGTCTAGGACTCTTCTAGCTAAACACTTGCGTTTATGTGCTATCACTGGGGAAACATCAGCGAACCAAAGAGAAGTGAAATCTCCTAGGCAATCTAGTTCGGTTCGGATTAAAAGGGGCCTCAATTGATGGTGAAATTACTATGCATTTAGAGGGAGAGCTCAAGCTGTCTCCCTCATTGGCAGGTTTGAGCTATCCAAGTCATGACTGTCATAGACATTTTTAGGCTTTGGTGGTTTTTGTACATTGTTTCTATTTTAACCAGACGTTATTTTATGAAGTTCTTGACCTCAACACTAGGATTGGAGACAATACGATCTTCTCTTTGAAGTGATGCAGCAAAAAAACAATGGTGGAGGGGGAAGAGATGCTTCTCGCTTCCTTGATGATGTCCAAATCTATAAAAGCATCATGTGTGAAACAAACCTAATACACTTCTGATAGCACTCAGAACTCTGAAAGTCTTTAAACAAATGGCCTTGTGACCTGATCACTGGCCCCTGCTTTATAACAGGCAGCTGAAGGCACTTGGATAGTTCAGGATACTTTTCAAGTCAAGGAAACACGAGGGTAGTTATATGAAGCAAGATACTCAGGTCCAGTGCAAGATAATTTGTGTACCTGTGCTTACCAAGAGCGTGCTTGAACTGAACCCAACAGGCATTGCCTGGCCTGTGTTTTCCCAGCAGTCCTTATAGGTAGGTGGAAGAGAGCAGAATGGTGCAGAGTGACAAGATGAATTCTCTTTGAAAGCTCTTACTCTACTCTGGAGCTCAGTTACTCAGAACAAACAGCCTGTGTCTGCATGGGCACTAGGAGTTGGGGGTATATTAGCCAGGTCAGGCTGGGGATGTATTGCAGGATGCTGCAGACCAAACAGGAGTCCTGCCTCTTCGTTTCTTCAAGTGCTTTGTTTGCTCAGGCTGTGCTGTTTCGGGATGGTGGTTCTGCTAGACTCCATTTCTTCCCCTGCTAAGCAAAAAAAGAGAGTGCAATTTTGCAGAGCTTTGAATCCCTGAGCAATAACTAAGGCCTGCACTGAGCTGTCTCGAGACATGAAGCAAAACAGCGCAGCAGTATCAGGGGCTTCAACATGTCCTCTCAATTTCACAATCCTATAGCAAGGGAAGAGAGTTGAAATCATCTTGGTGAACAATCTCACTTTGAGCTGCTTGCGGCGGTATTTAGTAATGCTGATGTTTAAGTATGCAGGATCTCCTGACTCATCTGTGGCTGTTTTGCCTTTCTCAGTACCCAGACTATGATGTGCCCTTGATGTTTCATTTTGAGGTGTGGCTTATGCCAGGGAATATGTCCATGATCTTAAAGTAGTTTTCTACCAGCTTGATATTCATAGAGGTGAACTGAGGGTGTTTGGCAGTCACCTTCTCTTGCCTGCTTCTCCTCAACAGGGGAGTATGGTATGGTCTCCTCCATCTAGCAATGGGGATGAGGTCTCTTGCACCTTTCTCTTCCCTGTGATGTGTGGTCTGTGCTGTTGGAACTGAGGTTTATGCTCGAAGTAGCCCTTGGTATTGCTCATTTGTTTTTGACTAGCAACACCCAAGAGTGAACTCGGTTTAGAGATTTGGAGGTGACAGCCTTCAAGGAGATCAGGGTCCATCAAATTGAAGAGAATTTCTACTCAATGTTTTCTCATGTTGCAAAATGGTAGGAGAGGCCAGTTTGAAATGAAACTAGGTGGAGGTTTGCAGTAGGGAACTGGATGAAACTTTGGATTTTTTCCTGTGCTTTGGCAGGTAGTGATTTTTTTGGCACTGCTTGCCAAGGAGAGTATCTTGCTCCTGCATGAGATGATCCCTTTGCCCCAGAGCAGCTTGGTCTGTGCAGGGTTCTGTGCCCAGCAGCTCACAGAACTCCCATGAAAGGGGAGTTAGGAGTGGACATGGTTGACAGACCTGGGAGGCTGAGGACACTTCTACTTTTGAAGGCCTCCTGGCTGTGCTGGTAGACCCTGTCTGTCAGGGTGAGAGCTGTGCACGGCTGTGTTCTGAGGTTTGTTTGCATTCATGTTTGCAGGACTGCAGATTTGATTTGCTTAGCTCCTAGTTGATTTTGTTACTTAGAGACATCACACTCTTAAAATGAAATGTATGGTGAGATGTTACAGAGAATTTTTTTTATATGGTGAAACATTGCAGGGAAATTTTATTTCCCCTGACAAAACTCCTAATAGTGTTAGAGAAAGCAGCCTTCCATTCTGATCTGTGTCTGCATATCAAGCATTACAAGAGCATGCTTCACTGAGCTGAAGAGAAATAAAACTTACATACATAAATTAGCTGGCTTTCTTAAACTGTGTATTGAATAATTTTTTTTCGACTTCTCTAATTGAGGGGTAGAACAGATGGTGCAGGCTTAGTTTAAAGTGGCATCTATTAGAGTTACTTAAGCTGATGAATGGTTGTTCACTATAAGCATACATTTGTTCTCTATACTATGTTTATTTTGGTTGAAATTCGGTGGAAGAAATCCCGATTTAAGAAATAATTATCATGCATGGTTATGGGCTGATATGATAATTCGGTAAGCGTGTTTGTGTATTTAATGCACAAGGGAAGAAAAAGACTTCACCATCTGGGGAAGAAAAAAAAGAGACTTGTAAAAGGTTTCCAAGCAGCTGCTATTAGCTGGTGAGTTTTGGGATTCTGAGGGATACATGAGGATCAGTAATACATACATTAATTTAGCAGTTTCATCCCTCAAACCTCTTTACCATGAAGC